TTACAAGTGGGGCATCAGTACTGGGTGGAAGGATGGAATCAAGCAATAGCAATATGGAAGTATTACAATTTTGAAAGTAGATTACCCCCACCATACACATTTTAATATCAGTAATACATTATCATTTCTGTAGCTTAATTTTTCTGTTCATGGGAAGGATGACAACCCCTAAAACTGGATAGGAAAAAAAATGGAAATACACACCCTTCTGGCTGAAAAGCATACACTGCTTTAGAATAGATCTACATGCATCTGGATCACTTTCTCTGTCTCTTCCACAACAATGGGCTCTAGAGAAATAATGCTTTCACTTCAGTGCACCAAGGTGCAAAGGTTTAAATGAATAGGTAGTATGCAATCACTAGAGTGTGGCTTTCATCACATACTCTAGAGACAAATGAGTTAGGTCCATGAAGTGGCAATGGCTTGAATGATATGGGCTTTCACATTTATAAAAGAAAGTTCTCTCTTGGTAAGGGAAGATAATCTATTTGGATGGTTACTGCAATCACCTCAAATGGTAGAAGTTGACATCAGCTGACCCCTCAAAGGGAGATTAAAATTCTTTCTACTGTTTCTTGTCCTTTGAGAGGTTGTCAAAAAGAAATATAAAATGAGCAAAATGGTCAATCCTGATCATCAGCAAAGATACAACTTATGGGATCTCTAAACAGAGTGAAACTAATGACAATCTGGTTACTTGCTAAACACCAGGTTGGTAAAGAAAATAAACTTTAAACTGCCACTGAATTGCAGACTGGGCCTGGTTCTATGGATAGGGCATGAAGCTAATGCTCCATTGTCTTACAGATGCTAAGGATAACAAGTAAACTCTCTCCTGGGTAAGGTTTTTAAAAGAAGCTCAACCTGAAGGTCTAAAGAGGAGTGATATTTAAAAAGACAGAAAATTTTATGTAGATAAAAGTATTAAAGGATAGGAAGCCCATCTATGCAGCTCAAAATGCCCATTTAATAGCAACAATAGCTTACCCGTAGCTATTGTTAAGCTTTCTTTTTCATGCCGAAAAATCAACAGTCTGTTTGATGTGAATACATCCTCCTCTGGAATGAAGAATTGTCAGTATGATGCAATCTACTTATGAAGTTCACTTTATCCTTACTATGGTCCTATGCAAAGTTATATAATCAGCTTCATGAATATTCTGGAAGTCACATTATAGAAGGATAAATTCTCATCTTATGTACCAGAATAATTTCTACCACAGAAGGGGCAAGCCAGACAATAACAACAGGAAACTTATTACTGATATTTCAAATTAAAAACATTTCTTTACATTGTAGGGCTCATCAAAATAGATATCAGGAAGCCAGCATTTTGCGAGTTTTTTTATACTGTTAGCTGATAAAAATTGAATTATAAATTTATTGTTAGTAATAATTTGGTAATTTGTTTAAAATTTCATTTCAAAATGCAAAATATGGACATAAAAATATGGCTTATTTTTGCAACTGAAAATATTGCAACCATCAATATGCAATTAATACTAAAAAAAGGTTAATTTCAGGACTCCATGTATTAACTATATGGATAAATGGGAACCATTCTAGAAATGGGTGAACATAAAATGGAGTATACATCTATATATGGGTCTGAAGGGCAACAAAAGTAAAATCTGATCAAAAAGAACATTTGGAGAATTTATCCTATCTGTAACTTAGGAAAGAGAGAGACAATGTTTTATCCAGTTGTTTAACAGAAATTTGCACACAAGACATTCAAGTCTACAGTAGGTCATTTATTCTGAACACTGGATGGGTACTGGACATGCTCATTTTAGCATGCAAGGGATGGCACAGTTGCTTGGGAATCCATGCTGTGGGTTTACATATATAGGTGAATGACATTTGTCTTGGTATGTATTTTTCTGTTGGAGTGTTAATATTAATTCATATAAATTGGAAATATTGATGAAGATTCAGATCACCACTAATGAATGATTTCAAGTCACACAAATCTAACACAAGAGAGGTACTTCAGGAATGTAGCATATGCATAAATTAGGGGTTTACTGTACTGGTATCAACAAATCATGCAAGTGTACCATTGACAAATTTAATGTCATGTTCATAAAGATGCCACTTCTTCTGAACTATACAATTATCATGTAAACTGCCCCAAAATACACCAATTCTTGCACCAAGTCCAAACTCTGAATTAGTATTAAAATCTTTCTAATCAAAAGAAATCCTAAAAAATGTGGTTCTGTTCTTTCTTCAGTAGCATGATTCAAATAACTGATTATTAACTCTTTCAACTTTATTTTTTAAAAGAACAAAAACAGTTAACAGAAATTTTAAAAACAATTACTCACTTCAGTTGAAACCAACACATCAGGAACTTCACATAGTCAATAGAAATGACCCAGGGAAGAGTATGAAGTAAACCAGCCAAACCAGAGATGGACCTGACTCACAGAGAAATCTTCTCTCTAAACAACTGTTAAAAAGGATTGAAACAGAATGTGAAAAATCTATGCCACAGGCAAAACATCCCAACTTGCCAAAGAGATAAACAGGTGCACACTGGATATCCAGGAATGAGTTAGACTTGACTGACAGAATCAGACCAAATCATCTTGGCATTCGGACATTTCCTCTACTCACTGCTTCCCAACAAAGATGACCACAGAAATTGAGTGCAACTGATGCCGAGCAAGAAAGCAAAAAGAAACCTGATGGAGTTGTAGCAAGTCAATTAGCCAGCCAACAACCAGTTGAAATTCAAAAAGATGTGCAATGCTACATTCCAACAAACCTTAAAGACCAGGAAGCCAAGAGCAACTGCAGAGTGTGTTTGACAGAATACCAATGAGATATGACACACGTGATATGTAACATGGATGCAAAAGTGGTCAGTGACAACATTTTCTTGGGTACATAATGCTTAGCAGAAATCAATGAGAACATATAGCTCTTTGCTGACTTTTGTGGCAGAAGTCTTGCCCCACTAAGGTTAAGTCCCATGATTTAGTAGCAGAGAAGAGATCAACCATCTTGCTAACTATCTCAGATGATGGAGGGCTTGGACAGATCTGAGAGTCTGTAGAGAAGTACTTGTTGACTCAGATCATGTGCTGTGATGGCAAAACTAATGACCAAAAACAAATAGGAGTTAGCCATTTCCCTCTCCAACAGATTTGAGGTCCTTGGTGACCTTTGAAATGTGGGAATGAGTTGGAAGCACATTCATTTCAACCTATGAGGATATGCTGAAATTCATCACACAGAAGCTCAAGTGTTGGCTGTCAGAAGTCACAGTAAATAACATTGATTGCAGAAGAGAAATCAAGCAGAAATTTATACAGGCAGAATCCAGAGCAGAGAAACAGTATCTCCAGAAGACTTAAAGACAAAGTAAAAGTCAAGTCAATGTGAAGAAAGATAAGCAAATTTGCCACAGATGTGATGTTTTGGATGCATAAAGACCATCCACAACATAAAGTCAGGAAGGCAAGTTAACACAAACAAGGCTGTAGTCAGAAAAGATAGGAATGTCCTGAGCAAACCAGCAGAAAAACTACACTGGTGGATGGAACATATCAGCATTTTGCTCAGGGGAACACCTAAGGAAAACCCACCCATCACAGAAGTGGGAGAAGATATAGATGTCAACATAGAACCCTTTACCAAAAACAAGTCATACTGGCAATTAGGAAAATCAAGTGTAGTAATGATCTTGTCCTAACAATATCCCTTTATAAGAAGTTTATAAGTAGATACCAGTTTTTAGCAGATACCTTGACTGACCTTGTACAGAAAATATAGGACAAATGAGCTACTTAGCTTCTAACTACCAAGCAAAAAACTGATTCTGGAGAGGACTGGTCATTTGCTGTAGATTTCTGGCTGTGAGAGAAACAAGAAACAGTAAATGGCAGTAAACCCTGTAAGTAATTTTACGTTCAGGAAAGCATTTGAGATAGTGGATAGAACAAACCATCTGAAAAATAGTGAGGTACAATGACATCTCAGAGAACATTGTCAGGATTATCCAGTGTTTCTTCAAAGACATGACCTCTCATATCACACACAACACAGAATTGTTTCCTTTCTCAGTTAACACTGATGTCAAGCAATGATGCTTACTTTTGCTAATGGCAATGAAGATGGGAGCTGAACAACCTTGAGAAAAAAAAGTGGACCTTGAGTCTAAAACTGGAAGATCTAGACATTGCAGATAATAATGGTCTTCTATCACACACACTACAACAAATACAATTAAAAACACTGGCCTAGACAGCAATGCTGACAAAAAGCTATGCCTGTGAATCAATAACAAACCAGGATGCACCTTTTTTCTTAGTAAGAAAGGCTATCAAGGATGCTAACAGAATTGCAAGTCAGGAATAACCGATGAAGACATCAAAACCTGGATAGCCAAGGCATGCCATGCCTTTACAAATCTGAGAATTCTGGAGGAATGGTAACATCCACCTGAAAAAAAAGCTTAGACTGTTCAATTTCAACTTCAAATCAATGTTGCTCTACAGAGAAGAGACCTGAAGACAAATAAAAAATGAGGAACATAATCTGCAGGTCTTCATCAACCCCCATCTCCGACAGATCCTGCTCATCTGATGGCCAGACCAAATCCTCAACCAGGAGTTAAAATTGGGAAGCAGAGATGGATTGAACATACTATGCAGAGAAACTAGTCCAACATTGATCGCTATTCCCTGCACTGGAACCCATAAGACAAACTCAGACAAGGACAAAAAGCCATGACTTGGCAAAGAACCATGAACACCAAACTTGAGACCATCCACATGTCATAGAGGGAGGCAAAACAGACAGACCAAGACCATGATAACTGGAGAACTGCATGGAAGACTGGAGGGAACAAGAGGAATGATGAATTTTTGATGAACATGGAAATGACAGTGCACTTAACTGAGGGCTTGCTTTAGAATTACAAAAACAATTACAATATTTTGTCATTGCATTATTTAGCAATATCTATTTTAATTGACTGCTCCGATGGCCTAGTGGTTTAGTGGTTAGAATGTCTGACTCAGATGCGTGACGTCATAGGTTCGAATCCCAGCCGAGTCATACCAAAGACTTCTAAAAATGGTACTAACAGCTTGGCGCTCAGCATTAAGAGGTTAGTGTTAGGACTGGTTAGCCTGGTGTCAGGATAATGTGACTGGATGGATATCATGCTACATGTCTGCAGCATGATGCCACAGTTCTAGACATCACTATAAGCTGCCACACTGCAGAAATCATAGCAATATGACTGAAAAATGGTTAAAAGCTACATTTAATAAGAAAATAAAAATCCAGATCAATTTCAATTATGTAACAAAGGGGCACACCAAAACAGTATACTAAAATATTTCACAACAGAACACACTTTTGATCCCAACATTTAGTGTCATCATTACAGAAAAAAAATACATAACTACATTCACCTATGTATTCTATATAAATAAAACTAAACTGCAAATAATATAACAAACCAATTTTTAGTAGGTACTTTAGTGATCTGAACAACAGGAAAAGCCGAGGGGAAGACATGACAGGAAAAGATTTAATTTTGGAAATATCTTATTAAGCCATTAGTCACCAAAATCACTTCTTGAATCACACACTACTCACAAGTACTGAACAAAACAAAGTTGGTGGTTGTGGGTTTAACACCATTTTTAGCACGTGATAAACAATACATGGCAGCCAGCATAATTTATGGAGGAAGAAACCAGCTCGGCCATTGTGGTATATTAAAAAGCTTCCCATTACATTCCCAATGAGCTGGTGGTTCTTAAAAGGGTTTCCCAGTTCTTTCTCCACCAGATCAACAGTAAAGATGCAAAACTGATGTAAAATGCAGATCAAATAAAATATAAATGTACAAAATTATTAAAATATATAATCAAACATTATTAAATAAACCACATTTCCTGAAATAGTCTAAGATTTTCTTGAGTGGTATATCATTATAAAGTTCCTCGATCAAATTCACATTTAAAAAAAAAACTTTTGAATAAATAAAACACCTGGCTTACAGGACCCTCTTCAAATGATCATACATGAAGCCCTCTGACTGCAATAATGTAGTATAGACATCATTATCATAGGTATAGGTCTTCTTCCAACCTCTAAGAGAATGCAATCTAATTTTGACCCAAGGTCTTTTTAAGGACTTTACTGTATATACTCAAAATTTTATTCCAACCAAAAACATGCACTGGAAGATCAGGGTTTATGTTTGTTCTACTGATTACTCCTAACAAACTGCAAAGACCCAGATCTGATGGCACATTATGCGACGGTAGATCTTGTTCTTTACTTTTTGCAGCTGGACTTGACTTATAAGCAAATATAGACAGTAAATGTTTACTCTTTTATTATATATACCTTTACCTTTATCTTTTTTTTAATATACCTTTTACAGAATAATAATATCTTATCGTTTATATTTTATATTGTTATCCTTCAGGTTTAGTTTTTGGGAAGGTTTATCTGTTGGAAGGATTTATCTTAAGTTTTTGTACAATTCTTTATTTTCACATTTTTGAAACTTCATGTTTAACTGGCTTTATACAGCAACTATTGTCCTGATGTGCCATAATATGCTACTACATGTAAATATTCAAAGCATATACCAAGAATGGGTCCTTGACAAAAGAAAGAGCACTCACTCCGCAAGTATTCAGCAAGAATATGTATGAAGGCATTGACATTAAAAAGTAAAATGCTTTCTAATGTAACTTGATTCATGCAAATATTTTATTTCAAGCAATATTTAAACATTATAATTACAAACCTATTTGAGATTTAATTGAACACAGGTCACAGCACAGCAGTTTTTACACTCTCTCTCTAAAATCATTTCACTCAGCAATACAGAAGTGCTGCTATATTATTTTTAAATGAATAGTCAATAAGAAAGGAGTCAACATGGATTAGGGATTCATAGCTTCTTGTCCTGAACTGACCCATGAAACATTATTGCAGGAGGGGGAACAAACATAAAGAAAATAGCAAGCTTGTTCAATAACTGCACACAATTATTAAATCATTTTATGAACCTAACAGTACTGTTTACTTTTTCTGATGTAAAATCAACAGCAACCTAAAATTATTAATTACAGAATTATGACCTAAATAATGTAAATCAACGCAATTTCATGTAGGCGTTAGCAGAATTGATTGGTAAAATAAATATGAGAAATGGACAGATCTATTTTTTAGTAATTTTTTTTTGGTTTGTTTCAACAGCACTTTTAATATACCACTGGCAATATCATTGTGGTAAACCCTTCCTCAACTTATTTTGTGGCAAGGTTTACTGGTTTGATTTCATATCACAAGAGTGACAGCCAATGATGTAATTTGCCAGTATCAAATAAAGTCAATATGAAGTATGAACTTATGAATGGGATAAATATATAATCTGAGTTACTAACAAATAAGTCCAACTCTCATCACAAATAAAGACAAAATTTAATAAAATTTCAAAACAATAAATTCCACAAGCAAATGATATGAAAGTTACAATTCGAAAGATACTTTTCTTTCTTGCGTATTCAATTAAGGAAATGCAAATAAAATAATAAAATTAGCTGATTCTGTTTATGAAAGAATCAAAATCATCATTACGAGTCCAAGCATAAAAATCAAATAACTCTACTTTGCATCAATTCAAAACCTAGTTTCCAATTCCGTTCCACAGTCCCTCTTAGACTGTACTTTTGGTTCCTTTGCATCAGTAAGTCTTCCGCTCCACTTTTCTTTCTTTCGGAAATTCTAGGTGTCTGACTTTTTCGTTCAACACTGCCTGTTTTTCCTTTCCACAGTTTGGGTTGTAAACATGTCTCTTCCAGACTATCTCACCTTAAGAAATATAAACAAAGCAACCTAAATCTTCAGTCACATTATACATGAATGCATCATTAGTCTGACCCTTCCAGGTCAGAGGTTAACTCTTATCAAATTCAAACAGACTATATGGCTGCTTATCAGAACTTACTGCTTAGTTTCCAGACTAATGGTCTACGAATGGCCATTTATGCCACATGAGGCATTATTCCCTCACACAGTCTCATTACATGCAAATGAATGAAATTCCTTGCCCTACATTAAAGTTACCATTATATATAATAAATTCGTTCGGAGAGTTCTAAAAAATCTGTAATGTCAACATTTCATCAATTCATCCATGCATATAAATTCAATATCATTGTTCAAGTTCAGCTAAATGAACTCAACACAGTTATGTTAGATACAAAATTCCCTATATAGAATAAGCATGAATTCAGACTACACAATTCCCTACAATAATCAAGGCTATAATTAGCAAGCCGCAAATGTACATATAAAAGGAAATTAAATTGTGTGGATTCAGATAACCAAACTCGATACAAGTGTACCTTATCAACAAAATTAATCTGCATAAACAACTTAAATGAGATGTAAGCAATTACCTTATTTTTCAAACTTTTGGTGTCTGTCAAATCCTTCAGACAACTGCCCCTTGGATAACAATTATTTAATTCAAAGTTTGCTCATTAAAATTCTCGGAGCCTTCCAGATCTTAGTTCCTTTTCTCTCATAGTGAAATTATAGACTAAAGTTGTAATTCGTTACTTGCACATATAAACTGAAGAGTTTTTCAAGTGAAACCATGCCCTCCTTCCCAGTGTAACCAATCAGAATTACAAAATCTTCCACTTTATGCCTTTCAACAAATGACTACTAACTGGACCTGGACTATTTCTGACTGTCAGTTTCCATGCAGAACCAAATCTTGAACTCTATTCGGTAAGTTTAAACATACTAAGCCCTTAATTATAAACCAATAACTTTTGGCCTTGCCCGAACCTATCAAACCTTTCGGAAGTTTATGGCATGTAAAATATGTAAAATTCGGCCATTTTCCATAAATCTCATTAATGGTACATGTATTCAACTAATGTATTCTACAAAGATCGACCTAAAAATTTGGTCCTTTACAATCATGCTGAGGAAATCAGACACATGGCTGGGGCAGGTACTGAACATACAAGAAAACAAAATGTATCAAAGTCTATTAAATGTGAAATACCGGTAAGGGTCCCCATGACCTAGATTTTGTGATCTGGTTGTAAGCTCAAGTTTCATTGCCTCATATTTTCATGATTCCAGGTGTAGCATAACATGTACAAGAAACGATAATCACAATCAGGTGTAAATCGGAGATTAGTATAACAACCAGTTTTGTCATCAATTTAAAAAGAAAATGTACATCATACAAAACTATGGAAATTAACTACAATGAATAACAGTTACACTTCATTAATTTTCTTATGCTATTTAATTAATCTCACAAAAAGTAAGTTAAGAACCTTTTCAAGAATCATTGTACTTGGAAATCTTGTTACACAATGGTACCTAAAACACTAAACCTTTTTTTTTCAATTTATGCTGTCTTTTTTTTAAGCAATACACAAATCATCTAATGGTCTGAGTTAAAAAAAAATCAGTGGTCTGTTTGAATCTTCCTCAACATGCTGAAACAGGGCTCTGTAATGTTAGGATTCTGATAACCAAGAGCCCCTTCAGGGTCTGGTCATGCTGTAACTTCCTCATCATCTGGGTTGCTATCATTTGTATCTTCTAAGGCACTTACATGACAATTTCTCATTTACATTGTGCACATACTTTTCAAGATCATTTTTCCCCAACTAGTAATGTTCAAATGTGTGTCACAAGTTGGGTAGTACACAAAGCTTCCCCCTCCCTTTCCCCTTTTCAGAATGTTTCACAAATTTTAATTCAACTAACCAAGTAATGTTGAAGTTACAAACATTTCTTTACTTTCCAAAGGCATATTTAGTGAATTTTCAAAATGGCACAAAAATTATGTTTTCCAAATTGATCAAGAACTATTTTATATTTGTCAGGTTGCCTACAAGTTGTCATACACAACACATTCCTCAATACTGAAATATTGATGAGTAAAACAACCAATTTGTATACAATAAACGAACCACTTGTGTTATGAGCTGTGATTTGATTGACTGTTGGGTCCATAACCACTTGATCAAAGGATAAGGATAGTTGTAGAA